CTTTCCCGGAGAAGTGTCACCTCTCTCGGCGTCTGTTCTGTGCAGTGAGCGGCAGAGAAGCAGTGCATTCAGTTGGCCGCACCGCAGCCGACTCGTCAATAAATGAGTACAAAACATAGACTGTATAAAAACATGGACGTAGTGTCCGTGACATAACCCGTAGACTTCCGACGAGCATTTTGAAGCCTAAAGTAGGCGGAGCCAGCCGTCGCCATCTTGGCAGCGTGTCACCACACGTCACTCCCGGATAATCAAAAATGGGCAAAGAGGCGGGAGAAGGTTGCTGAAGCCACGCTCACCTAGCTCGATGGTGGTGACCGCAGTGGCAATCCACCTGTCACTCAAGTGGCCACGCCCTTAATTATGCAGAACTTTAAGGCTTAATATAATTTAAACGGATGAGTTATAAAAAAATTCACCCCCCTTACAGTTGTCATGAAGGGCAAAATTAGCTATATAAACCAAAATCATTTTTTGAACCAGGCTGTAAACATGTTTTTTTCTGCTGTAAAGTTGGGCATTTTAACATGGGGAGTCTATGGGATTGACTCCCTTTTGCAGCCAGCCTCTAGCGGCCAGTCAATGAATTACAGTTTAAGTCACTTCCTTGTTGGCTTCACGAGAGAGAGCGGGAGGTTGCTGCTCGGTACAAAACAGCGTTTCCTAGCACCTGTCGCTTACTGATTGTTTGGAATTATAAATATGAGCGTAGTTCGTCTGTTAATATCACATGCACTTTTTTGTTTGTTCTTTTCTCTAGTTTGTTACTCAGACGCAGGCAGTGCGCTGCATGAAACAAAAAAGTAATATAGCCAAAACAACTGCATAGCCTCTCCTTTAGTGTACATGCATGTTGATTTTATCAGACGATGCCGCAATTATAAATGAGAGTGACTCCTGGTTAACATGTATTAAAAGGGGTCGTGTTTAGTCACTATTTAGTGTGGTATTTTTTGACAATATTGACTCATCATGACAGTAAAATAGGGCATTCTAAGTCAATATACTGCAGTATTTCCTCTCTCAATCAGTAGAAAATATGGTTAACACCCGGTCATGCATGAAAAAAAAATACTGTCATGTACCGTGAAACTGGTATAATTTGGAAAAATAACATGGTATAAATTTTTGGTCATACCGCCCAGCCCTAGTCTACGATCACGTAGCATGTCACAGCTCGCTGTCCACATCCCGGGGGAGCTCAATCATGCAGCCGACGCGCTCTCACGACAGCTCACGTTCCCTGGAGATTGGCGACTCCATCCCGAGATGATCCAGCTGATCTGGAGTTGATTTGGGGAAGCCCAGGTAGACCTGTTTGCTTCCCACGAGTCCTCTCACTGCAAGTATGCGTTTCCCCCAGTGAGCCTGCTCGCACAGACACTGTGCAAGGTCAGAGAGGATGAGGAACAGGTCCTTTTGGTTGTGCCGTACTGGCCCACCCGGACCTGCTTTCCGGAACTCATCCTCGCGACAGCCCCTCTCTGGCGCATCGCTCTGAGGAAAGACCTCCTTACTCAGGGGCTCGGCACCATGTGGCACACGCGTCCAGATCTGTGGAACCTCCTCGTGTGGCTCCTGGACGGGACACGCCGGACTTGAGTGGTCTGCCACAAGCAGTGGTGGACACCATCACTCAGGCTAGAGCTCCCTCTATGAGGCAAGCCTATGCACTGAAGTGGAGTCTGTTCGCAAACTGGTGTTCTTCTCGCTGAGAAGACCCTCGGAGATGCACGATTGGAGTAGTGCTTTCTTTCCTGCAAGAAAGGTTGGAGCGTAGGCTGTCACCCTCCACCTTGAAAGTGTATGTGGCTACTATCGCAGCACATCACAATGCAGTGGATGGCCAGTCCCTGGGAAAGCACGATCTCATCGTCAGGTTCCTGAGGGGTGCCAGAAGGTTAAATCCTCCTAGGCCACCCCTGGTGCCCTCCTGGGACCTCTCAATTGTCCTAGTTGGACTTCAGAGGGGTCCCTTTGAGCCACTGGATTCAGTCAAGCTTAAGTTCCTGTCTGCTAAGACAGTGCTCCTGACCGTGCTCACTTCCATCAAGAGGGTTGGGGACCTCCAAGCATTTTTGGTGAGCGTAGAGTGCCTTGTGTTTGGGCTGGCCTACTCACTTTGTCTTGAGACCCCAGCCTGGATATGTGCCCAAGGGTCCCTCCATGCCTTTTCGCAATCAGGTGGTGAACCTGCAAGCACTGCCCTTGGAGGAGGCAGATCCAGCCTTGGCACTGCTTTGTTCCATAAGAGCGCTGCACATATATGTGGACTGCACCCGGAGCTTTAGAAGCTCTGAGCAACTCTCTGTCTGCTACGGAGGTCAGCAGAAAGGGAAGGTTGTCTCCAAGCAGAGGTTGGCCCACTGGATAGTGGATGCCATCGCCTTGGCGTACCAATCCCATTGCGAGCCGTGACCCCTGGGGGTGAGGGCTCGCTCCACATGGAGTGTTGCCTCCTCCTATGCATTGGTGCATGGCGCCTCTTTGGCAGACATCTGTAGAGCTGTGAGCTGGGCGACACCAAGCACCTTTGCAAGATTTTACAGTCTCCGCGTTGAGCCAGTTTTTTCCCATGTGTTGGTAACAGGTAAGTGGTGGGAAGAGCTGGCCGGTGTCATGCTAGCTGTGCCATTCCCCCTCACCTGGGGATGCGAGTGCCTTTTTCCTCCTCCAGTAAGTTCCCCGGAATGGCGAACCCTGGTTGAGTATCCTCCAGCACCCCCGGCAGTTAGACTGGGCAGAACAGTCTGATGCCAGGCCCAGTATTGGTGTTAGCTTGCCCGGATCTCCGGTCAGCCCCTGTACTGGGCTAGGTGTCCATATGGCTTGATTCCCTGCGGGCAATCCCATATGTGTATTCTTCCACGGTAAGGTTCCCCTCTCGGTGAGCCCATGTCTTCCCTTTGACAGATCATTCTGTCAGTCTCTGCTGGCAGTTGTTCCATCCCTACTCTTAGGTAGGACTTGCCTCAGAGACCAATTCCATATGTAGTACTGCCCCAGGCCTGGGTCAGTCCATTCAGTGTCTTCACATGATACCTCCCTGCAGGAAGGATGTGGCCTCCGTAGCGCCCTTCTCCGGAAGGCTCGCTTCCCCACCGTTACTGCCGAGCTGTAACAACAAATAGGAAAGACTTGAAGCAAATCATTAATCGAAGGTCGAAATTCCTTCTGTTAAGAAATTTCTGTAGTGAAAGGAACAGCGGCTTGGCTATCACCAGCAGCGATATACTCCCCTCTAGTCCCTGCGGGTACCAAGGGCAGCTAATTTGCGCTGGGGCGGTGGGGAAGTTACGACCTTTGCATTTGTCTGACACGTGGCTGCTTGTCAACATTTATAATCCCATAGGGTTGTGATGGGGTTCAGGTTGTGGCGCTTTCCATGGACCCCTAATGTCGTCATGACATAACTCATAGTGACCGACAGATAGGGAATGTCTCGTTTACGTACTTACCCCTCGATCCCTGATGGAGGGAACGGAGACGTTATGTCCCCATGCCACAACCTCAAACCATCGCTGGCGGCCAGGGACAAGTTCTTGGCTCCTCAGCATAAAACCTGAAGAGTGGATGCACCTGTTGCCTATTTATACTCGTATGCATGGGGAGTGGCTCAGGTGTGCAAAATCCACTAGCCAGATTTAATTGCCATTTTATCTTAAAGTCAGAGGTGATTGGGGCTCCCAAGTGAATCCCCTAATGTCGTCACAACATAACGTCTCCGTTCTCGGGGCGGTGGGGAAGTTACGACCTTTGCATTTGTCTGACACGTGGCTGCTTGTCAACATTTATAATCCCATAGGGTTGTGATGGGGTTCAGGTTGTGGCGCTTTCCATGGACCCCTAATGTCGTCATGACATAACTCATAGTGACCGACAGATAGGGAATGTCTCGGTTACGTACGTAACCCTCGATCCCTGATGGAGGGAACGGAGACGTTATGTCCCCATGCCACAACCTCAAACCATCGCTGGCGGCCAGGGACAAGTTCTTGGCTCCTCAGCATAAAACCTGAAGAGTGGATGCACCTGTTGCCTATTTATACCCGTATGCATGGGGAGTGGCTCAGGTGTGCAAAATCCACTAGCCAGATTTAATTGCCATTTTATCTTAAAGTCAGAGGTGATTGGGGCTCCCAAGTGAATCCCCTAATGTCGTCACAGCATAACGTCTCCGTTCTCTCATCAGGGAACAAGGGTTACGTACGTAACCGAGATGTTTTGATATATTTCCGGTAGGAAATTACAAAATATCTTCATGGAACATGATCCTTACTGATTTTTGGGGAAGGAGAGAAAGTTAATTTTGACCCATGCAATGTTTTGTTGGCTTTTGCTACAAATATACCCGTGCTACTTAAGACTGGTTTTGTGGTCCAGGGTCATACATAATAACTGTTTTTAAAAGGTACATCTTTTTGTTAAAAATTTACAAAATAAGAAAAAAAATTATGCCGACCTCAGATTTTTTATTGGTAGTATTCTACATATTTATAAGTGACAACTTTTTTAAGTGACACACTAAAGAGCATTCCAAAGGGTTCCTAACAAGCATGTTTTAAACTCATAATCTTGCTGTCTTCTGTTTCCAGGGATGGCCATGGAAGTGGCCCCACTCTCTCGACCACCCGTCCCATTCAGAAGACTCTGTCCAGGCAGGACAGTCAGTACAGTGAGGACCTGGACAATGCCATGAACAACAAGCTTGCCACCCAGCCACCTAGTAACTCCACTCCTCATGATAGTCTGCTCAATCTGGCCAACAGTGCCCACACTGCCGGCCTGGCACATACTGACACTGAGAGCAGCCTCATTCTCACCAACCCTTCCTCTACCACTGCTAATGTTACCAGCACTGGTCACCTGAGCATGAATCCTGATTACACTGCCGTGGACATTCCCCCGATGTTCCCCTCCAGTAACGCCATCCTACAGGGTGAGAGAAAGAGCTAAAGAGAATAACTGACATTTTTATTTATTGTCTTAATCATCTGTTTTACTATGTTGTTTCCCTTCCTCGTCTCCACAGTCAATAAGAATGCAAACACAGAGCCCCTGCCCAAGAAGGAGGACACAAAGGGTGACGATGACGATGATGAGAAAGATGATGCGGGGCCTAAACCCATGCCACCCTATACCTCAATGTTCATTCTGACTACCACCAACCCGTGAGTGCAGACATCTCTGTGAAACTGGCTAATTTACTGACAGTCCTGGCACTGTGATTCTGCAGTTGGTCAATATTACAATTGCATTCCCCACAATAAAAAATATTAATAATATCTGGTATATAATGACCACTTTTCAAAGTCCAATCAATTCCAATGGATAAAATTAAGTCCTGTCCTGCTTATTTCCTACTATTTATTATCCTGTTTCATTTGGAAATTCCTCCCATTTTAAAAGTAAAATAGGGTGCAAACACTTTCATGTTGACATTAAACAAAACTGACTAGAGTCACCTGCTTTTGCCTCTGAGTTTTTATATTAAGTTAAATGAGCTTTCTTTCAAAAGAAGTGGTTGTTTTTGTTATTAACAGGTATTTTAATGAACTTCCATTGTAGATTTCGGAGGTTGTGCCACTATATCGTCACGCTCAGATATTTTGAGATGTGTATTCTGCTGGTCATTGCAATGAGCAGTATTGCCCTGGCCGCTGAAGACCCTGTCTGGCCCGATTCCCCCCGCAACAATGTGAGACAATCCCACATCTCAACATCCTCTCTTTATGTCTCTGAGGTTCAGTTTATTTTTGTCTACTGGACTAGAAACCATTTAATCTATCTATCCATCTGTGCTTCTAATCATTACCTGATGTACTAGTTTACTTCTCCATCATTTTCATCTGTTTATTTATCATTCTTTATATTCATTTTGTCATATTGATTTGTCATAACGGGCTTAATTTTATTGCTAACTATGTGTCCCTCTTTTGTGCTTGCAGGTCCTGCGGTACTTTGACTATGTGTTCACTGGTGTGTTCACCTTTGAGATGCTCATTAAGGTAAGTATCTATCCTGCACATCTGTCTGGGGTATGATGGTCTATACTTCACCTTTCAACAAATTATACTTATGTATTTTGTACTTAAAGAGTTGTTTATTTGGTCTCCATGTTGTGTCATGCAATAATACGAAGTACTATAGGGTTCATATTCATTTCAAGTTCATATAGTTGCACATGCTTTTGGAAACCCCAGAAATGTCTGGGAATTTTAAAATAGTGATTCCTGGAAATATCATAAAAATTAATTACAATACAAGGTACAGGAATCATGATTGCAATTATTATATTTTTTTATTTCAAATGAATGCTTTATATTCATTATATAATCCTCAAAAATATGTATCTGTATAATTTTAAGCAGTACAACTGTTTTAACATTGATAATAACAAATATTTCTTGAACAGCAAATCAGCATATTTTAATGATTTCTGGAGGATCATGTGACACTGAAGACTGGAGCAATGGCTGCTGAAGATTTAGCTTTGCCATCACAGAAATAGATTAAAGTTTACTTATATATTCAAATAGAAAACTGTTATTTTAAATTGTAATAATATTTCACAATTTTACTGTATTTCTGATCAAATAAATGCAGCCTTGTTGAGCAGAAGAGACTCCTTTTAAAGACCTTAAACTTCTGAACAGCAGTGCACTTACTAAATATTTCTCTCTCTGTTTCAGATGGTAGATTTAGGTCTTGTCCTCCATCAAGGCTCATATTTCCGTGACTTGTGGAACATCCTGGACTTTATAGTGGTTAGTGGTGCCCTGGTGGCGTTTGCCTTCACGTAAGTGTCATCAAGGCCCCAGCGCTCATGCCTCACTCCTCTCTCCTCTCCTCTCCTGCTTGCTGCCTTTCCTTGTCCTTTCCCGTCTTGCTCCCTACAGGTCGCCCTTGTGTAGTCGGCACAGCTCTCTGCCACCCTGGAGCGCCAGCCTGCTACCCATACAACCCAGCTGTCTATCTCTCTCTCTCTCTTTTCTCTCTCACCATTTCTCTGCCTTTCTCTCCTTCCCCAACTCATTTCTGTGCATTTGGCATATCTTGACCCCCCCCCCCAAATAGCCCCACCCTGCCCCATCATGCACAACATTTTGCCCAGTGCCTACCCAGTGGGTGAGCTTGGGCCCATTTCCATGAGGGTGATGACCCTACCTGGGCACCTTTAACCCTTTAGTGCCCAGGACTCTTTGGAGCATCCAGCCACACTCACCTCAGGTATTTCTACACTCCATTTTTTATGCCACATGCCTGGAACCAAACATGAAGAAAACAGACAATAAGAAGAAAGAAACGAAAGAGCAAACGGAAAACATTTAAGAGACCATATGCTACTCTTGTACTATGTACCTCTATATTTAGGATTTATTTAGGTAAATGACCCCTCTTATGATTGGTTGACCTCTTTGCATGTGAAATTAGTTATAATGCTTATTCGTGTGATGAGGGTTTATAGTTGGGTCCAGTTTAGTATGTTTTTTGTCACAATCCATGCAGAAATTAACCGCTTTAATTATTAAGATCAAACTGAAATGATCAGGAATCTTCTTAAACAAACTACTGTAAATGAAGGCAGGAACAGACAGAAGGGATTTATGATTGGCGGTCAGGATAGGTGACGAGGAATAAAGGAAAATGACTGTTCCAGGTTGTGTATCTGATCGCAGCGGAAGCATACAGCCCAACTACTGGACTGAGAGAGTTGCTAATATGAGAGAGAGGTCAGAAAGGTACATCTGTTAATATGAAACTGGAAACAAATGCATGTAAAAGCTCTTTTTCAGACTTAGCAAAGAGCATGAGAACAGATTCTGGGAATCGACATGTCAGATGACCTGAATGAAAGCATGAATGGAAGAAATATGAGCCCAGATCATTTTTTTTCTTCCTGAAATACCTGAATCTGAATGCTTTGAAATAGTAATATTATATGGTTCTGTCTGTGTGTTTGTGTACATCCTCCTCAGTCCCTGAACAACTGTAAATATGTAAATGTGCACACATTTTCTTTTCCACAAAAATTTTTTTAGACTAGGTGGACAAACACAACACATGACATGTACCATGCATACAAAACGTGAATGGCTGTCAGATTTATATTAATAAAGACCTGTTCACACAAGTCTGACGCAATTAAATGCGAAAGTGTAAAATGCCTGCAAATAATTTTGCACTACAGAGGTGTTCATGCAGAATCTGATGCTGAAATTCCCATTCTTATCGAATGTATTTTTTGGCATCTGAACACTAAAAACTGAAGTACAATATTTCAGACTTTGTGTGGAGTAGTTTATAAAGATGTAATATTTTGTTTTAAAATGTTTTTATGCCACATTTTAAGACCTGATGGATATAGTTTTATATATATACAATATTTCTAGAACTCAAATTTGAGTTATAAGGCAAAAAACAGTAGAAACAATAACATTTAAGGAAATAATATACGTAACATTGTTTGAGGGGACAAATAGAGCTTGCAAACTGCACTGATTATCTTTCCCAGCATGACTTTCTTAAAGAAACTGCCTTGAATCCTTGAGTGTTGTTTTCCCCTACCACCAATCCCACCAACCCCACTTCCATTTGCACTCACGTCTTTAGTTCCCGCATGAAATAAGTATATTAGGAGATTCATAAAGAGGCATTTGGATGTGCCTCTTTGCTATAGCTCTTTGCTATCATGGCTAGATTTTCCAGTTTTCCTTTCTCTCCCTCTCTCTGCACACAGCGATAGTGCGCTCCGAACGGCAGGCGCTCTGGGGTGACTGGCGCTCCCTGGCTGTGAGCGTGGGAACAGTTCCCATATCTCTGCTGTCTCTCACAGAGTCTGTTTTTAACCTTTTACTCAATTTCAGGGAGTGACTCATATCTTTGTGTATGTATCTGTGCATGTTTATTTAGTATTTTGTGTACAGAGTCCAAAATTAGCACTTGCAGAGCGTCAAATGCAAGTAAAAAAAGGTTTGTCGAGTAAATGAACGCATGATTTACCCATTTTCTAGAAACTGGAAAATGTAATTTCGTGACCACCACAGAAAATAGTCAAATATTACTGAATAGGTCTTATTTTATTTTATTTTATTTCGTCATAGGGACAAATACACAATGTGTCTTGGTAAATAATGTGAAATATAATATTTTGACTGGGAATAAAAGTCTATATTTATGATAAGTTCTTCCTAATTTGCCAGCCAATGCAGGTGTAGCAAAAAGTTAATTTTGGACTCTGTATATGTATTTTTGTATTTGTATTTAAATTGTTTTAAGTGTTTACACTAGATTAGGTGTCCACATATAAACCAAACTAGGAGCTCTGCCATTATTTTGTGATTGTATTCTCTGTCTCATGTTGATATTTTTTCCTGCTTCAAAAACCCCATTCTTTCCCTGTGCCTTTTTCTGTCTCTGTGTGTGTTTTGTGTCTTTGTATGTGTCTCTGGCTCTGTCTGTCTCTGTCTTCCTGTCTCTGATCATCTCTCAACACCTACAGCGGAGGAGGCGGTGGGGAAGGAGAGGGGTAATGTCTCTTTCTTTCTCCCTTTCCCCTCTGTTTGCTCTTATTGCCTGTCCTTCTCATCACACGCCTGTCCTCTCCTTCTATAGACTGCTCTGTCTGTCTGATTGTTCGTCCAAACGTCCCTCACACATAGAACACAAGCCAAGGGCGAGGTCATGTCATTCTTTAGCCAGCTGCAGTAACTCAATCTTACAGCTAATCAACTCTTGGTACATTCTACAGTATGTGGACACCTAAATGTGTTAGCATACGTGTTTGTGTCTATGTGTACGTGTGTGTCTCTTTGTTTCTGTGTCGGGCCTTCGAATACGATTTCTCTAAAATGTCCAACAAGTGTGATATGACTAATTTACAGCAGGTAAAATGGTCATGAATACTTGAGTCTGAGTGTGTTTATTATTTTGGAAAGGCAGCTTTTAAATATATTTGTATTTTTAAAAATGTTTTAAAGTTCCAATTAAATTTCATTATACTTATTTAATGGTAAAAAAAAAAATAAAAAAAATAATATATATGTGTTGGCATGTTCTGAACTTGTAATGGGACATTTCAAGCTAAAATGGCTGCTGCTGTCCCTGTTATCAAGTTTATCACGTCTTTGTCTTTTAAAATCACAGTTCATTATTTTGAATATTTATTATTTAATATGGTGTGACATGGAGGAAACCAATAAATGATCCTGTTTTAATTCAAATTAATATTTTTATATAAATGTGATTGGTAGTATGAATAGGTAAACCAGTGTACACTTTATTATGGGAAAGTAAGTTGTTGTAAAAAAAATTTTTTTTACAACAATATTATTTTTTAACAATATTACATTTATTTTTATACAGATTATACATAGATATAACATATATATATATATATATATATATATATATATTATTTACAGACATGTAAAATACTCCTTTAAAATATTATTTTAATTATTGTAAATGTATTAATTTATTTAATTACATGTTTAGTATATTTTACGGAAGTTCTAAGCGGCCATGCATTATTTTTTTTCCCTTCTTGTTTTCTCGTTATATCGACATAACGAGAGTTGTTTTCTCGTTATAACGACTAATTTTCTTGTTATATCGACATAACGAGAGTTGTTTTCTCGTTATAACGACT